CCATTCCAAAATGGTGGAATGAGCTCCCCATTGACATCAGGACAGCAGAAAGCTTACACATCTTCCGGCGCAGACTGAAAACTCATCTCTTTCGACTCCACTTCGAGCGATAGAATTATTAACAAAGCACTTATATACTAATAAAGGACTGGTTTATCTAAAGCCAGTTGAGTAGCACTTGAAATGTTTTAGCTCTATGAAACCTGATGTACTTACGTATATGATTCTGTTTTCTTCAAGTTTGTATTTTGTTGGTCGAACGCACTTGTTGTATGTCGCTTTGGATAAAAGCGTCGGCTAAATGCAATGTAATAATGTAATGTAAAATGCTTTACACCAACACAGCCCATTTAATTGCAAGGGTTGCCTTTTATTATAAGCTAACATGACTAAATTCAGATGGCCCAGATATTGAAGAACTCATTTGTTGACGTGCGATTCTTCAGTTGTATAAATTCATCCCTTATTTAATTAACTCTCTTTAATGTTCTGATCTATCCTCATAAAAATGTAAGGCGTGTAACATTTTATGTGTGTATGCAAGCGTGTAGACGAGAGTGATGAATGGTTTAGTAGAACGCTTGCAGGGTGTATTGATGGCTTGCTGTGTCAGTCTTCCAATTTAATTTGGGCCTCAGGAAATTTTCCACTGTTGGTTTTTCCACTCCAGGTGATTCATTAGGAGGGTGTTACTGTGTGCTGTCTATGCAAGCACACGTGTGTGTACACTTGTGCGTATCGGGGTTTTCCCCCGTAAGGCTACGGCACTACAGGACGCGTTGAGTTTGCAGAACAATATATTATTTAAGCATCAACTTCGCTATGTACACATGTCACACTGCAGTAGACAGTGTGTACAAAGATTAATTAAGGGTTGACTTTATAGACAAGTTTATTAACTAGAAAAAGTGTATAACCAACCTGAAAGAAAGAACATTTAATTCTAAAAGCATAATCATCCTGACCTTTTTAGTATGCAGGGAAAATAACTCGCTTACAAGTTATTTGTGTGATTCACTTTGTACGAGTGCAGAAATAAATAGTAAAAACCAGTAATAGTTGTGGGGTTGTGCTAGATTAGTTTTTTGAAAATGTTTTGGATGAAATGTTTACCTTTTTTCATCAACACCATTTTCCAACAATGTTTTTACCCAATGTGGGTTTTTTCACAAAAAGCCTTGTGTGTTTGTGTTCGTGTGTGAGGCCAAAGGTTTATATCTGTATGGTATACAGGTCTACAGACTCTACACCAATTTTTGCCTCTGATTTTCTGTACTAGCATGTGTGTGTTTATTTGGGGACCAGCGCTCGGTGTGTGTTTAAGCAGCTGATTTAATACAAAGCTATAAATCGTACTCTCAACAAGAGTTAATCCAGTCTTGGTGGAGCTTGTAGGCTCAGCAGAACTGCTCCATTGTCTGCCTGTCCCTCTCTTTCTCTGCCTCTTTCTCTCTCTCTCTCTCACCCTGGGCCTTTCTCATTTCACTAATTTCCCCTCCTCGACTCCTCGAATCCTCGGTCCTCCGGTAGTGACCCGGAAATGGTTTTCGGCACGCCATGTTGAAGGACATGTTATTTCTCTAAACGCACATCGAGGATCGAGCGTCGAGGAGGCTCTCTGTAGGAGCTATAATCGAGGATACACTGATGGATCCTCCACGGTCCTCCATATCCAGTTTCTGATAGTGTACGTTATTATGCTGTGAGTGCTCTCATACTTGTTTGAGTCTGAAATTAAATATATTTATATAAAGGTATATATATACAGTACCTATGTTTATATATATATATGTGTGTGTGTCCGCATCTGTAGCCTGTTATTGCCTCATTATACCGCACTGTGAATGAATTCAAAGTAAATATATAAGTCATCATGAACACAGTTCTGCCCATCAGACAATGGATGTCATCATTAATGAATGTCTCTTTAAAATGACCGCGCAGAGGAGAGGATTTTTCATTTCTCTAACCGCCTGCTGCTTCCCCTCCTCTCTCCTCCGTTCCCCTCCTCGGCTCCTCCGCTCGCATTTCCTGTGGGCGGGACTAAGACACAAGGATAGGAGTCGAGGAGGGGAAATTAGAGAATTGAGAAAGGCCCCCTGTCTCTGTACATCAACCAACAGAACTCAGACCATACTGAAAGACAAGAGAAGTAGATTTGATGATACTGTCTATCATTTATTCATTAGTTTTACAGGAAAACTTCTGTAAAATGATTGATAACTAAACTTTGCATTAAATACCAGTAGCCCTGTTCAATATTTAAATATTTATATTGATCTTTAGTCTTAAAAAAGTATTCCTTTCCTTTGAAAACGAAATACTTGAGTTTTCTACTAGTGGCAGGGTGATACCATGTAACTGCACTGTCCCCAGTTCTCTGTCACATCATCCTCCATATCTTTACTGGAGGAAAAGATCTTCATCGATACACCAGTGTTTATCTGCTCTAATTTCAGGGCATCTGTGAGTAGGAAAACTGTGGTATTCAAGCTCCACTGGGTCCAAGTGGACATTTTTGCCAAATTTTAAGAATCTTTTTAAAGCAGTGTTAAAGGAACGCGTTTTTTTCTAAAATGGGACTGGTTGATGGATAACCAAACTAAAATAAAACTGCACTGCTGATTAAAGAAGTGGTGATTTAATTGGAGTTAGGAGTATGGTTTTGTGAGCCTATTTAACCAATATAACAAGTCGTTAAATGGGAGCATGTGACCTTAACGTCCTCATAGTTCTGACCTGATGTCAATACTGTGTACAGTGATCAGAATACCTGTATTTGTCCCACAGAGAGGACATTTACAATTGTTACAGAAAAGTACTGAAGGAATATCTTTTGACCTTGAATTTATTGACTTTTTTTAATCCTAGTTGGTAACTTTATTCACTTAATCCAATCCACATTAACAACTATTTAGCATTTAAGCATGGAAAGTAATTTAAAGAAAGGGGATCTATTTATGTAACTGTAGTGATAATGAAGTCACAGGGGATTTTCTCCGTAGCAGGAACAACCCGTATGTGGCCTTCAGTGTGAAGTATTGAGATCACTTTGGGTATTGAACCAACAAAATGCTGAAGGTCATTGAGTTCCTCTCCTGATATTTTCTCCCTCAGCTGTTATTATTGATTCTAGCCATGTGATCTCTTTTCACATTTCTTGCAGAGCTGTCTTTCCCATACTACCCTCTAGTTTTGTTCTTTGTCATCTTTATGTGATATGTAGGGTTGTTGAATTAGTAATCAGTCGAGGAACATCACATTTGTTAAAATATATAATTGAAATGTGTTGGTTTTTAGAGCTCACGCAGTCACATTTAAATACAAAAAATAAAAAAGATCCCATCAAGTGATATCTGGCAGGCCATAAATATTACTGTACAGAATCCCTGTCCGTTTGAATGTATCCGTGGTCGTAGTCTGGCTGTAATGTGTAGATCCAGGTGACAAATGACATCTCCGCTCATAGTGTATATGGCTTCATTCAGGAAACAGCACAGTTTGATTCTGCGGCTTTGAACATGCTTAACTGAGTGTGGATAGACTCGATGTTGCATGGGGATGATGAGTAAAACATTTTCATGGAGATGAGACGTTCTTTCAAACAGAAGCACACACACACACACACACACACACACACACACACACACACACACACACACACACACACACAGAGGACTGCAGAGACAGACCAAAATATGAATTATCTTATAGATGTGTGCAGCTTTAGTAACATAGACATTGTGATGGAGAGATGTGGTCACTGACCTTCATGTGTTTATGTCTCATTGAATTAATCACAACACACACAGACAGACTGGCGGTGTGCGTCTGTGTGTGAGAGAGAGTCGACAGTGTTCCTCTGTTGACTCCATATACCTTCTGGAGTCTGTGTAAAAGGCTCATTTATAGACAAGAACAAGTCGTGATTTTTTTCCATTGTCAGGATGCATTTTAATTTCTTACTTTGCTTTTACATTCAGTGTGAAATATAATGGATTTTGAAACTTGATGAAAATGAATTGTCATTTATCAACTTTTAGTTCAAAAATCAATTTAAAACCAGGCATCTTTATCAAGTTCATATGTATATTTCATATATACAATTGCAAACATCTGTTTGTGCCACACCGCCACCCAACTCATCCTGTTTTCAGGATAATTGAAACACACTCAAAATCTTTTCTCTACACACAGCCATTCTCTTGTGAGTATTGCGCATGTGCAATTCTCAACAGAGATGAGGAGGAAGTAACATGGTTCATTCATTTTTTTGTTGATTGTGCGTCTCTTTGTGTATAAAATAAATTACAGTTATTTGTGTGTGTATATATATATATATTTGTGAGAGGGGAGACAAAGTGAGAAGTGAATGAAACAAATCAGTTAAGGCTCTAGTTTATTGACATGATTGATTTCAGGTTATCTTAAACGTGCCGTATTAACTGTTTTTCATCAATATATAATAGGTCTCAGATATATACAAAACATGTCTCTGAAGTTTCAGCCCTGTTTCAAAAGTGCTTCTCTGTCTGTTACTTTAGATGAAAATAAGGAGCCCCTCCCCACGCCCCTCTGAGAGATATTTGGTTAAAAAGAACACAATGGTGCTCTAGGAGGAGATTCAGGTGATAAGGTTATGACATCATAAAGTGGCCAAAATCTGATCAGCTAATTTCTTTATATAAATGGATCAGGAGAAAAAGTGAGCGAATCATTTTCCCTGAAAAGTTCAGAATCTCTTTACACAGAGGGGACACATGTTGATGTATAAAAGACATGACAAAGTGGATTTTGCATAATAGGTGACCTTTAAATTCCTATACAGTATATAGTGAGACACCCCTAAGTATGTTATGTGAAGCACATTAGAAATCTTATGAGTTTCCAACAATCCTTTACCCTTCTTATTTGTCAGGCCTGCGACCCCTCAGAACATGCAAACGGTCAGGACTCCCACACAAAGAGCGTCAGTCGCAGCCAGAGCAGAGCTACTCGCTCACAGACCTTCGGACCCCTCAGCTCCAGCTCTTCCTCCATCCACCAGACACAGACCCCGGGTTTACCGCCGCATTCACCCCAGGCTCAAGCACAGTCCCAGGCCTCGGATGGGGGGGTCCCTCCTGGTCTGGCCAGCACCCTGGAACACATCATCGGTCAACTGGATATTCTCACTCAGGTAAGCAGAAGAGTTGTTAATCTCTCATGAAAAACCGCAAGCACTGTGCTGAGGCTGTGCCGCCCACTCACTGTTCAGAACAAAAGCTTCCTTTAGTGATCAACCTGCAGGCCAGATATGGTTACAGAACACAAACACAGAACACCATCTATCATGCTGTTACTGCGTAAGACTGGCACTTTATCTCTACACTGCTGCATGTCTGTGGTAGAATGTATTTACTGTCACATTATAGTTTTTCATTGGCAGCTGTCCTCCACAAACACAAATACTGATTACACAAATCTACCTGTGACAGCAGCGACATTACTATTGTTTTTATCATCTCATTTGAACTGTATGCACATCAAGTGAAGTTCTATTTTTAGTCAACCAGATAACTAATCCTAAAAACTGTCTGAAAAATACAGAACATGCAGAACAAAAAAAATAGATCCTTGAACAAAATACGAAAAGAACAGCAACCAGTTAAGATCTGAAGGTCTGCTTCGTGTCCATTTATTTATGCTTTGTGCATTTGTTTAGCTCCAAAGATCAGATATGGATATCAGAGAAAGCAGAATAACAGTACAGCAACATGTTTTAGGCTCTCCTGTTGTAACCCATTCCTTTTAGCTGACCTGTCGAATATGGAATGAAATGACTGCAGCTTTTGAATTTGCAACTTATATTAATCAGTGTTGAAAACATGAAGTGCAATGGACAGCAATACATCCTTTATTGGATTTCTATTTAACCAACCATGCTCCCTGGCTAAGCCTAAAGCTGCAGCCAGAGCCTCACTGCAAGGTGGTCTTAACACCTCACTCATTTATCTTTGCATATACTGTGTGTGTGTGTGTGTGTGTGTGTGTGTGTGTGTGTGTGTGTGTGTGTGTGTGTGTGTGTGTGTGTGTGTGTGTGTGTGTGTGTGTGTGTGTGTTGTCTTTTGTGTGTGTGTGTGTTTGTGTGTGTGTGTGTGTGTGTGGTCTTTTATGTGCATGGTTTTAGCTGGAGGTTGTGAACGTGCCCTGAGAGAAAATGCATCATTCATATATACGAGTGCTGGCAGCACTATCACTGATAGTGACTGAGTGTAAATTGTTAATGGCCACACTGAGAAGCAGAAACGCTTCTTGTGTGTGTGATTTTTCTTCTTTATTTCTTCTTTATTTTTTTCTTTCTTTCTTCTTTCTTTCAATCTGCGGTGCAGAATGTTGGAGCATTTAGATTTGGCTCAGGGCAGCCAGCAGCTAGCTAACTCCTCCCAGGGGGGGGGGGGGCAGCAACCTCTCCCTTTCAAGACCAATTCACCCAAACCCTGATGCCAGATGGATCGTCTGTGTCTGGTTTTGTCCTTCTGCTCTTTGATTGTTTGGGTTCATTCTTATTTTTACATTAGGACATGGTAGGAAATCATTAAGATCTCTTAATATATTATATAAGTGCTCATATCTGACGATCTTATGGTTGTCATTGAAAAGCTTTTCTCGTCCGCTGTGGCTTTGCTTTTGTCAATCCTGAACGTGAGGTTGTTGTCAGATCGTATACAGTATGTTTTAATGGTTTTCCTTTACTTGTACTGTTGAACTGAATCTAATTTAACTATCGAGGCAAAAACAATATGGAAGAAAAATCTAAAATCAGGAAGAAACATAACAATACAGCTGCAATACATCAGGCCAGGAGAGTAAAGTTGTGGGGCTGCAAAGACTTCCGGTGCCCTAACTCAGACACACCTATTTTCAAACTCAGCCTTCATTTTTAAACTCAACTAGTTAACCGTAGACATGGGTTCAAATGTTTAACAATTGTCTTTGCAAATGTTTCAACAGAACTGAAATACAGTTTTGGTGAGTCAGATTGAATCAAAAGGTAGATTTTGCAGATGTAATTTTCTACCTGGGAGCTGAATTGGATGTTCAACTGAAGCACATCAAAACCTGCATAAATTGGGTTAAAATGCAGCATAAATCACAGCTGGTGCAGGTTCAGACACGCTTTTGTAACCGTACAGATGGTAACATTGGCAGACCACTGACTTTCACCTCACCTGCTGTTTTATACACAGCTTGTTAAGAGATTTTTAAAATGGGAGTTCTACAAAACACAGCACAGTAATGTTAACTTCATGCTGTTAAAAATAAAACAGACCACTAGAAACGTAAGGTAATGTATAATTAGATCATGTAAAGTATGCACACGAGCTCAACCCAGCTTTCTTTCAGCCGACCTCCAAAATGACCTCATACGTGAGTAGAAATAAGAAAGTAGAGATATTTGTCCAACATCATCTGTTCAACTTTGACAACATGGAGATTGAAATGACTGCCCCGCCTTCCTCTGAAGATTAGGCTGACAAAGGGACATCATTTATTTGTGTGTTATATTCCAGATCCTCTTTAAGTGTTTTCTCCAGCATTATTTTTCACTTTTACGGCTCTTTGTAACTCTAATAACGGAGGAGACTGAGAAGGAACATGTTGAATTATTCAACGTTAGGCTGAAGCTTCTAAAGCCACAGTTTGCTGTGTTAGCTGCTTTTTCACTTGTCTGCCCCCCCCCCCCCCCCTCCACCAATACTCTACCCCCCATACCCCTCTCTTTATTCCTCTTCCTCTGTTTGATAAGAGAAGAGAAGAGAAGATGGACCTTTATTAATCGCCCGAGGGGGAAATTCAGTTTCCACTCTGTCGTACACACACATGTGTTTTTATACAGGTCATACAGTACACTACACAAAGTACACACTTTTTAGAACATACATATACAAATACACACATGCACAGTTGAGAGGTCAGAGCGGAGGCAGCCAATCTAGCCGGCGCCAGTGAGTGGGGGTTAGGTGCCTTGCTCAAGGGCACTTCGGCAGTGGCCCAGGAGGTGAACTGGCCCCTCTCCCAGTACCAGTCCACACTCCGTATATAATAATTCATTCCTCTTACATGTCCTCCCTCACTAAGCCTGCATAACCCACACCTGTCCACTTCTTTAACACTCTCCCTCTTAATTATGAAGAATATTGAATCAATATTTGCTCTCTCTCTCTCTCAACTTTATTTAACAATTAAAGCACAGCGGTGCCTTCTCTTCCTCCATAGACCATTAGACAGTAGGTGAGAGAATATGGTGAACTTTCTCTGTGATATGACTCAAGGGGAAAACTGCAACAGAAAGTCTTTCATTAACACCTGCTCTTTTAAAACGTCCAGTACTTTCTCTCTGCTCTCCATCATTCTGCATGTTTCTGCTCAACCTTAACCTTCGTGTGAGTCAGAATAGATGTACACAGACGTGGACCACTCCATTGACTGTGTTTCTGTATCATCAGCTATAAATGGAGCTGCATGAATAATTAAGAAGAAGTGAAAGCAACTTGTTCGTGTTCCTCAGAAAAAATTAAAACCATTTAACTATACGTTGTGGACTTTTAGAAACCACAACGTTTTTACCACAGTGTTTGAAATACTAAGGAATGGAGGCGGTCTCTGATTTGTATGTTTATAGTTCTGTTTTACGAGAACTAAGAAGTAAGTAAGAAAGAAAGAATTCCCCCATCATTCTGAGAAATATAATGACTTAATATTCCAACAAGGAACTCTGATCATAGATACTATTTATAAATCATTATTACATCTTAAAGTCTAAAAATCAATAGTTTATTTTCTATCCTTATTTGGTAACAAAAACACTAAAGTAAAGCCGCTCAGACCCACTTCCTCCTACTCCATCACATCATGCCGAGCCAGAGTCAGAGACGACAACGCATATGTTATGAAATGTGTGGTGCGATGATGAAAGGAAGAACAAATCTGCTCCTGTGTCTTGTAAAACATAAAAGCCTGCACAACACTTTCAAGTGGTCATTTTCAGGAGAGGTTAAGTATACATTTTCCAATAATTCAATGTTAGCATACTATGGCAGCATTAAGATAAAGAGCCGTCGTTAACAAGAGGCCGAGGCTATTAACTAATGACTGTATGGACTTTTATTGGCTTTCTGCTAATACAATGTGTTTAAATATGGTTATTGATTCACCGCAGCAGTGCTTGTGCTACACACTTTCAGATCATTAGTGTTGGTCAGTGGGCGAACTCTGGCTACCAGGTTTTTTTTATGGTGTTTTTATGATATCACTTAAACCATTCTTTTTAATTCCTTGTTTTATGACTATAACTCACTTTAGTGGTAGCATATTATGTTAAGCACGTCAGTGAGCTACATATAGAGAAAAGACCTGACTTTGCCACCTTTCACCAGCACCAGTTTGCCTTTCTTTGCCTTTCAGACTATCAGACTTCAGCGTGGGTCATACCAAAGCTATGAGACTTTGTAACAGAGGCCAGCAATGCTCAGGGCGATGGGGAGTATAATGTGTTCTGGAGAGAAAAGAAAACAGCTTGCTCTATTTTTAGGAGCATAAAGATTTGGTTTCTACTCCAGATGAAAACTATATGCCCGTATAATGTTGCAGCTGCCTGGGGACACGATGCGGAATCACACACACACACACACACACACACACACACACACACACACACACACACACACACACACACACACACACATAGCTGGTTGGGCTGAGACTGGGTAGCCATATCAGGTTGGTAAGATAAACAGGGTGGTATTGATCTAGAAAACGGAGACAGGCAGAGAGAGGGAGAGAAAGGGGAAATACAAGCCTTCTCTCTCCCATGATGCATGAAATAGCAGGAGATGTTATCTATTTTGATGACCCAAAAGAAACTCCACGCACCCACACATTGATGAATTTATTTCCATCGGAGGGTGCCGAGTATGAGATTATCTGAGGGATTTAACAATGTAAATGACTTCATCCGTACGCCTTTAGTTGTTTACATTGACTGTGGGGTCAATGCAGGACCTCAATAACCAATTACCAAAACCAGAGTGAACATGCTCCACATGGTGTCTTAAACAAATAAAGTAAATAAAGATTACTAAAACAACACGTAGTAAACTTACAATGGAGGGTCAATATTGAGATGAAAATATAAGTTATTCGTTTTTAAATGGTAAGAACTTCTGCGTCCCTTACATTAATATGAACTCTTATTCAAATGATTACCACCCCTGATGATTTTTGTAACAAGGCCAATAATTCAGAAACATATTTTCTCAACAGTATGTGTGGCTCCAGCTTCCATTGCACTGTTGCTGTGTATTTTATATTTCTGTGTTTTAGCAGTCTTTAACAAACACCATTTCCCATAAACCTTTGCGAGTTAAACACAACTGCTCCACAACCGAGGCGATGCTAGACCAGTTTTTAATGTACTCTTTTAGTTTAATCACACAATAAGATAAAACTAAAATGATTGGACTGTGTTTAGTTGTTCTTGGTATTGATGACTTTGGTTCACCTATCAAATTACAAAACGAGAAATGATCAACTAGTTTTAAGACATCCAGTGACTATTTTTCAACCATCTATGTTGTCTGTCATTGAGAATGACTGTTACCCTGATTGTATAAAGTGAGCATAGCATGGTGATGAGAGAGAGATCCTACCGTTATGTTGGCCCTGGGTTTAAGGTGCGTTTCATATAGTTATAAGCTTTGAGTAACCGCTGTATAGTTGCTGATGAATCCACCCAGCAACAGGTTATTTCTCAATAAAACAAACCGGCAAGCAAAGCACTTTTGAGGTCACCCAAATCTTTTTTTCCAATGTCTAACCTGCAGCTGGTTATATTTTCATTAAATGACTCATCTCGTTGCTGCTTTCTAGCAATTTTAAAAACTGCTCTCGCTGGCACAAAGAGACATTAAATGACAGGTTGAGACATGTTGACATATCTTTTACTTGCTGGCCCAAATGTAGAGTCTGTCCATGTGAACATGTTGACTGATTTTGTTCCTCCCCACAACCACATTTATGTTGCCAAGCGTTACTTTCCAAAACTGCTTACTAGCTGGTATTGTGTTTGTCACCAGGCAACAATGTGTCAGAGATTCAGAGAAAATGAGGCCACTATGACCACAAGATTCACTCAAATGACTGTCACCCTTTTGTATCTGTTTCACTTTTTGTGTTTGAATTTGCATAAATCTAATTCCTGCATGACTTATCAACAGTCAAGCCTGTTAAAGATGTAATATGTTACATTTCAAAAGTCAAAAAACAGCTAGACTTATATTATTGAGGTTGTATTACAGTACTTACAATATTCAAAATATTAACCCTTTCAAACCTAGAGAAATTGATTTTAGATGGATTTCCTTGTTTTACATCAGGATCTTAATTGATGAGAGGAACCAGCTGAGATCAGTGATTTCTAACGCTTACTGGTTTAAATCACCCGGTCTGTATGTTTTGGAGAGGAGGGGGAACCTCTGTTGATAAACCTCTTGAGAGATGAACAATAGAGGAATCTTAACCGGGAGAAGCTGACTGCGGTGACACACTCCCAAAATCCAATCACTGCTTGCAATAAATGACGTATTGTGTTTTAAAGCAATGTAGGTTAACTATCTGAATATATAAGATATTAGTATATTCTCAGTTGTCCTGGTCTTGTCTTTTAAGGAATACTCTCAGGGTCCAGACATGAATCCTGTAATTCCTTCTATTTGTTTTAGATAATGAAAGAATGATTACATTACTTCTTTAATGTGACTACTGGATCTCAGATACAATAAAGGATAGAAAAAGCCAGCTGTGTCCTCAGTAATCGGTTCATTCAGATGATGAAATCAAACCTGGACGCTCGTCTGATGAACAGGCTCAGACGACACAAACACACAACAAACACTGTGACTGTTGGAGGATGCTGAGAGGAAAAGTATGTCGCACTGTGATCTCACTACCCACACATGCCCGTCCTGATTCGGATAGCGACCTTCTTGTATTCTCTGTGTGCGTAAGTGTGTTTATGCAACTGTGTGAGACTTAGAACAAGAGAGGGTGCGTGCCAGACACAGAAACTCTGGTGTTTTCAGCTCAAGCAGCAGATCTCTCTCTGATAATCAGCTGGATTGTCTTGCACGCACAACATCTGTCTCAGACACACACAGAACTGCCTTTCACACACATACAAACACCGCCATTATATAGTTATTACTGTCAGGCTGATGCTATACAGCCCTCTCTAACATGCTCTTTCCCTCTCATCCGTCTCCTTCCTTCCCCCCCCTTTTTTTTTTCTTTCTTTGTCTTGTAACTCCATCCAGACGGTTTCGATCTTGGAGCAGCGGCTGACGCTGACAGAGGACAAGCTCAAGGAGTGTTTGGAGAACCAGATGGAGATCGGTCTACATCTCCAGAGACGTGAGGAGGCCTAAAGATGGCGGCACCAGAGAGAGGTTGAAGTGTGGTGTGAGGGAAATGGGGGTCACACCAACACTACTCACAGAAAGACATCTTAGCGAACACTCCAGTTGTTACATCTCACTGAAAATGTGCGATCTTGCACACTTGAACAATGCACACTGAGCCTCACTGCTGATGTACTGCGCCTGGTTATATTACAAAGAGATATCTGAAGTGAAGGAGTTGAACATTAGAGAAGTTGTTCTTTTACAAGAGTGCTGAGAGAGCAGTCTGCTTTCTGCTGACAAAGGATCTGCTGCGAGTCACTTTGTGAGTGTGCAAGTGTGTGTGTGTGTGTGTGTGTGTGTGTGTGTGTGTGTGTGTGTGTGTGTGTGTGTGTGTGTGTGTGTTTCAATGTGTGTGCACACAATTGTGTCCTGTGTAGATGCATGCAAGAGACTTTCATACTTGCCTTTGCACTACACATGTGGACATCTTGAACTCTATTTGTGTATGTGGCGTGCAGTTCATGCAGAATGGCATCAGTAGTAAACACAAATACTTCAGTTCCCTCAACCAACATCTCTAAAATGCATGATATTTATTTGAGTTGTATTGAGACCAGCACAATCATTTTTAAATTGAAAAAAGAGTAATTGGAAAGTTATTTAAAGTGTGCTGTCTATGGATGCTTCATGTTTGTTCACCTGTTTGTTGGACATTAGTAGAAGCACTGGTTTAAATCAACTAACTTAGCCTTTACCGCGGAGCCAACAAAGTACCTCACCAAATTGGTAAGTTTGGTACAGTTATTAAAGATTATCTCTTATGTTATATTTTATTTTCAATAAGTCCTGGAATTGATTCAGACAGGGTAGGAGGGTGGCAAAGTATTGAGAGATGTACTAACACGTTGTTGGCTTTGGTTTTCTGATTTGTTGATCTTAAAACTAAATATAAAATAACTTCAGTAGTTTAAAAGATTTCGGAGTTTATAGCAACCGATTGTTGAAAAGATAAATGTGAAAGATAAGCATCTTGTTCCATCCACATACACTGTGTCTTCAACTTTTATACTCTGAAAGTAACTGATTGTTTACTTACTTAATAAATATGTTTCACTCGTACCTCTGACTTGAAATTAGCTGATGAGAGGATTGCTCTTTCACAACCCTGAGCTCTGTTTGTTTAACGACTGAAAGAGAGTTTGTTTTCATAATCGTTGCCAAATCGATGATGTCACCCGGTTACTTTTAAGAGAGTGTTTCCTGCTCTGATTGGCCCACAGAGCCCGAGCTGTTAACCGATGAATCATGACTTCTCAGTCTTTATTGTCCTCAGCAGAGATGTTAAGATCATGAGCCGTGAACTGTGTCATCCATCGCTCCTTTCCCCAACCCTTTCTATGCCAGATTCTGAGCGTCGATTTATTACAAAAACATGGGGGAAGCGGCTAAATACGACTGCCCTACTTGAGTCCAAAATCCTTATGTTTCACCCCCCGAGTAATTTAGGTAACCTGACCGCTGATGTTACAACACTACTTTTTAGACGCTTCAATGAAAATGAGCCTGACCCCATGACAGACTGTGTTTTTCTCAAAATACAGATTCATCTGAGCCAAAAAAGACCTCTTCATTGATTTGAGATTTTTATTTTACATACTGGTAATATGTTTACATAGTATTGCAATGATTCTTTCAGAGTCCTATTGTGGAGTTCTCAGAGAACAGTGTGACGTCATTAAGAGGAAAATATTAATGACTGTTTCTTTAAGACCCGACTCAGGCTCCGCACTGATGGAAAAAGAAGAAAAACAAAACCGGAATTCTGGAGCTGTGCTGCCGGGCCCACTCTCTTCCTTCCTGTCTGGGGCCCGGGGACACACACACACACACACACACACACACACACACACACACACACACACACTCTCAAGCCAGAGAAAATGTCTCCCTTTACTATGGGCCTCAACCAGACGGCGTGCCAGGAGCTCTAGTGGAAGAGAGGAGGGGCTGAAAGTGTGTGTGTGTGTGTGTGTGTGTGTGTGTGTGTGTGTGTGTGTGTGTGTGTGTGTGTGTGTGTGTGTGTGTGTGTGTGTGTGTGTGTGTGTGTGTGTGGGGACCATGTTCAGTTTTAAAATCTTGGTAGTGAGGACATTTTGGGAGTTTTTTTCATGGATTATAGCTGTAACCATGAATGAATGAGTCAATCCACAAGAAGTGAATCCCAAACTATATTTAAAAGTCATTTTTCATATTAAAACACTAACTCTTCTTTGGTTCAACCTCCGTTACTGTAAGATTGTATTACGTATCTCTGTTTTATATAATTGGGAAGTGATATTCTTTGTAATGTATTTATTTATATATATTAACTTTATTGAGGAAATAACTGGACAATGAATCGTAATCATTTTAAGTTGCAGTTTTTGTTCAGTTTACATGGAAACCTGCACAGGACTAAATAAAAAAATCAGAAGAGAAAACATTGAGTAATGACTCAAATGTGATGCCTTTTTCTCTATTTAAACTGGACTCAAAGTTTAAACAATACAAATATCTAAATATGCGACTACAACTATTCAAAGTCCCATCTAAGCGTGAGACTAAATCTAAATCTCTACACTGTTGAAACATCTGATAAGCATTCAAACTAATGGATCTGTTACGAGAAGTGGAATTCCTGGATCGTATTTCATGTCTCACCCGGTAACTAAAGCAACGCCCCTTCTCCATCAAAGCAACCTACTTAAGGTTTGCATTATGAATTTAATTCTGATGGTTAATGTTACGGCCTAATGTCCTCACATGTATAGCGGTACAGATGTGTGTGTGCGTACATGAAAAAGAATGAGGAGAAAAAAGAAGTTGAAGCTCAAGCCTCTGTAATATGTAGCCCATGTGTGGCCCGTGTGTGTAGGAGGGGGTTGGTGATTCTATGAGGAGAACATCTGGATATGTTTTTCCTGGTGCGCTGTGGTTGCTGCCACTGCTTGCCTGAGAGTGTGTCTTAGAGTTTTACTAGTTCAGTGTGGCAGGTTTTTGTGCTCTCCTGCTCCTCTTGGCTCTTTCTGTCCTCAAACATTGTGTCATATTCCAACTTTATGAGATTTATGAGCTTGATAATGCTCTCACAATTGGCTGCTGCTCTGCCCTGTTGCTGCAGGTGGAGGCTGCTCTGCCATACATAGTGTCTCTATCACTGCAGGGTCAAACAAATCCCAAAACATCTATTGCCAGAGCGTGTTATTAGATTTTGGTGTCCATCACTGAAATGGTCCATGTAACTGTATAGTGGTCAGCGCTCGATGAGCTCAGCGGGAACTGGACGTAGTTCTAGGAAAGAAATGAGAGGCGGTCTGCAGGGACACAGTTTTGAGGAACCACAGTAGAAAAACATAGAATAAGTCTGCGTTCTGCTTATGATGTACAAGAGTTTCCAGTGAGTCACAGTAACAGCAGGTGCACTATAAGTTTTTACAGGCCCAAAGAGATTCATACATACAGACAGAGCCATATGCACAGAGTAGACACAATTATTAAAACATCCAAGAGCTACAAAAGTGACTGCATTAGTCTGTAAAAAAAATAGAGCTTAAATTAAGCCACATGGGTTCAAACAGTAAATATATGATATGTTTGAAGCGTACATTTGAACCAAAGAAAGTATTTGAGTAATTGTTCATATGGTTCCTAAGTAAGAATGAGAATGAAGCTGAACCAATGTTAGCTTGCAGCACATTCGTCCTTTGTCTGCCTGCTCTGATTTGAATGCGGAAATGCTTTATTGTTGAGGAGAGCTCTGCAAATAATGTGTCTCTCTGTGAAACCTTAATAATGGAGAACAATGGAGGAATCCTTACAAGATTGCTACTTTAAAAACCCACTAAACTCGGTCAATTGGTGTTGATTGGATTGTGAGACCCCTGGGGCAGGAATATAGTATATTGTGTGTTAGAGGAAATAAAGTGCAACAAATTAAAGTCACAATAATGACACACTGTACATCAAGGTGTGTAAAGGGTTATCTCAGAACTGATTAAATGAGAAACTCCTTTGAGCTTCGAACTTAAAATATATTTTCCGAGCAAAACTGGATTTGGCTAAACTCCCCATTGCCTGATTTACTGCCTCACCCCTCCTCACCCCTTTCTCTCCCACTCCTTCCCCCTCTGAGACTGAGCTGTGCTGGTCGGCCGCTGCTGAGGTTTGGCGCTGCGCTCCTTCAACCCACGCTTTAGATTTTGCTCCAAAACCATCTTTTCCATTCGATTCCAATCGGACTGAATGGATGGAGTTAGTGGGTTTCTTGTAGGACGATGCAACAACAGAGAACAAGGTTTTAAATCTTGTTGACACATTTTATGGCAATCTGAAAAAGGAGCTTTAGTTTAGTATTAACAGATGGATTCATTTTAGGAGAAAGAACTTACTTCACATCTGCTGCTCTGCAAACAAATTCATTCTGTATACTCCTGTATTTTAACTAAATGTATAATTGGTATAAAGTCCTTGCAGATGAATGTGTCTGTTACTTCAATGCTCCAATGTCAGTCTTAAAGGTCACCTATTATGCAAAATCCACTTTTTCATGTCTTTTATACATGAACATGTGTCCCCTCTGTGTAAAGAGATTCGGGAAGTTTCAGGAAAAAAATATTCGCTCACTTCTTGTCCTGAACCATTTATATAAAAAATGTCTGAAAATGAGCTGATCAGATTTTGGCCACTTTATGATGTCATAACGATGTTTTGGCTTGTGTAACCATTAGCCAATAACCAACCAAGGTACCCCCCCACCTTATCACCTGAATCTCCTCCTAGAGCACCATTGTGTTCTTTTTAACCAAATATCTCTCAGAGGGGCTTGGGGAGGGGCTCCTTATTCTCATCTAAAGTAACAGACAGAGAATCAGCACTTTTGAAACGGGGCTGAAACAGAGGGGATTATGGGATGCTGCAATGATCTGTTTGGTATTTGGAGCAAAACACTTCAGAGACATGTTTTGTATATATCTGAGACCTATAATATATTGATGAAAAACAGTATAATAGGGGACCTTGAAATCACTTCTGACCCACGCTGGCTGCATATATAACACAAATTCAACCAGTTCACACACGCTGTAAGGTGTGTAAATGTGTGCTGAGTGTTTCAAATTGATGACCTATTTTACAATGAGGCAGCCCATAAAACAAACCTAGCGATAACTTTCAGAACACCCGTCCCTCCCCTCTCAGAGACTCACCTTTAAATCACCTGCCTCTCTGAAGCTCCACTGCTCTGACACAAACTCACTGAGAGAAATAACACACAGTGTCTCTTACAGCTCTGTTTCTTTAAATACTACCCGTTGAAGGATGTATGTCAGGATTACATTATCATAGCCATTCAAGCTCTGCAATGAATGATTATTGTCATTGTCAAAGTTTTAGATTTTAATGTGTTTTATATAAAATAGAAAAACAGTTCCTCATATTTGATCAGACTTTTTTTTCTTGAACAATTAAAATAGTTGGCAATCTACAGCGAATATGTCGACAGGCCACTGCTATTAACTAACCATTTTAGCACAAAAAAAGGACATCAAATCTGACATTATATAAGATTAAACCTTAATGAATTAATTTTTATTTTATTTATTAAGGGCACTTTCATACCTAACTCGGTCGTTCTGGACTTTCTGAAATCAAGTCACAACCACAGAAGTATTAAATACCTTAATTTGGATAATGCAGATCTTTAATGAATGTATCTAACACCACTAGTTACGAGGTTGCTTTAAAACAGCTGGATGTTCTGTTCATCTGTTGGTCTGAAGCCTGCTGAAACAGAGAGGAGGAGAGTAATATATGTCATGAGACAGAACATATTGTTAGAGTCGTATCTGAGCACCTTTGACCATCTGTCTTTATGGCCCTGCCTCTCATCTGTCATAGTAATATGATGGGGTGAGGCTAAAGTAAGTGTGTGTCTCTGTGTGTGTGAGAGAGAGAGAGAGAGAGAGAGAGAGAGAGAGAGAGGTGAGGGCTGAGTTAACGCACAATGACTCACCTCAGTGCTTTTACAATCTTGCCTACGTAGGTACAGTATGTTTGCTCTGCATGTTGATAAGATACAGTAGAGCAGGGTGAATATTACTCATGAATGAATGAATGTTGCTTTTTTTCATGTTGGTTCAGTGTCTTATAAAATGCTCACTCAAACTGGAAACAAAACCATTCAAATGTGTTGTTTTTTATTTGTTCCAGACTTTTTGATTAAATAATAGAAATCAGGTCGCTGTTTAACAC